TACAGCTACAGTATTTCAAAGGACAATTTCAGAATGATGTATTTTTGTATCTGTTATGCCAAATGTCAGGAACTAACAACTTGCACACTGATAATTACACTATATCTTTCACTTATCTGATGATGTTGATGATGATGATGATGATGATGATGATGATGATGATGATGATGATGATGATGATGATGATGATAAGAAAACAAAAAAATGGTACTAGGAAGATTACTAATTTTCTAATGAAAAAAATAATGCAACCGTTTTTGGCAATTACTTAATCACATTTAGTTACTTTAACACAATTGTTTCATGTTAGCAGGGTAGGATATAAAAAAATTGTGTTAAAGTGACTAAGAGAGAGAGAGAGAGAGAGAGAGAGAGAGAGAGAGAGACAGAGAGAGAGAGAGAGATTTACAGAAGAGCTATATCTGTAGCCTATATATTGTCATCTTTTTTTATTTTTATATTTATTATCTTGTGTAGTTAGATGTATATATATATAAAACTGTAACTGGAGCGTGTAACAAAAGTAATTTCCCTCTGGGATTATTTAAGTATTTCTGATTGTGATTCTGAAATATGATTAAGTAAATGCCAAAAACGGTAGTGTCAGTGTATACTTAATAATAACTTTCTGAATTGATTCACAGCAATTGTTTATTCTCTATAAGTGCCATTTCGTTCTTCATATAACTTGATGACCTGCGAACTAATAGCTTTAGAGGCAGAAAAGGTGAAGCTTTTCCGTTTTGTTTTTACATTTTTTTTCTATTGTTTGTTTGTTTGTTTTTTACCCCACCTTGGCTTTGTTTGTGTGTATCAAAAAGTGACAGCGCGGAATGTCGTTTTTATTTACTTATTTTTTAATTTTAGTTAGACGTTGTGGTAAAATACCACAAAGAAATTCCTCATGCGGAGGTTTATCAAGCGAACATTATTAAAGAGGACAGTCAGAGGCAATAACGAAAAAGAAACCTCCCACACCTTTCGTTTTTCTTTTCTTTTTTTATTGTGCTGTTGAATG